GAATTCTGGCAATTAGGCACGGAGCTAGGCCTCGTAAGTACATCTGTGACTCTGAGGGAGGTCAGCATGGTTTCACTTTTGAGGCAGAGAAGAAAATCAAACTGTTTCACCATTTGTCTGGTGAGAGCCAGAAATCCCTTTGGATTAATTTCTTTATTTTGTTGTGCAGTTTGGGGTTTTGTATTCAGCTTTCCATTTACTCTGACGAGGTAGTAGGTATCGAATGGACTTCCAGGGAAGAGCACTCAGTGCTGACAGGGCTCAGTGGCTGGCTGGTGCTGTGGCTGCACTTATACAGTTCCTCAAGTGTGACCAGAGTGTTGCTCGGAAGACACTTGTCTATTTGAAGCTCCTCAGTGGCTGGCTGAGCTGCATTTATACAGTTCCCCAAGTGTGACCAGAGTGTTGCTCGGAAGACACTTGTCTATTTGAAGCTGAGATGAAACTGCCAGTCTGATCTCTTACCAAATACCTGTTGGTCTCTTACTGCTCTCCTTTAATTATGCTGACTATGCACTGGGGCTGACTTTCTTTTTGATGCAGTATAAATCCTGAAACCAACCAATGTGTTTCTCCATCCTTTGCATTTGCAGTAGCAATGGGTTGTGGAGGAGTCGGCAGTTTCAGATGGTAGGCTTTTACACCCAGCACAGGTTACTTGAGAGGGTACTGCTCAAGCCAAGCTTTGCCACTAGTCTCCAGTTTGACCCATGGGATAAATCAGCTCACTCTTTGTGCCTCCGTTTCCCATCTGCAACGTAACATTAAGTGCTTTGCAATCAAAGATTGGAAAGCTTCATAAAACAGACATAGATTATTACTGCTTTGCACATGGCACAAGCAGCAAAGAATCAGTCCCAGGGAAACAGCGAAGGTGAGAGCAACACATGGCTATCTGTATGTCATTAGCACTCCCCAGAGCCTCTGGTACTCCCAAAGCTCATAAATGGCAATATGAATGTTTCAAAAATAACTTTTTTAAAAATGTAAAAGGCTACTTTAATTAAATGAACATATCTTTTCTCTTAGATCATAATTTTGGATCTCAATAAGTATGTTGGGAATTCAGAAGCATTTCAAATAATTTAAAAAAATAAAGAGTGAGTATGATGTTCTTTTATAGTTGGCAATTTTACAGGCTTCTTATATTAAACCAGATTTTCATTTTTTAAAAAGCAAGCTGAAAAGCTTTTGTAATAAGATATTAAAAGTGTTTAGCATGCTAGGTCATCAACAGCAATGTTTGAATGCAGACTTTAAGACTTTAAAAAAAAAACAGTGCAAATTTATATATATAAGTTGCTTGATCTGCTCCCTTTTTGTTTGACAGAACAGGATCTTGCAAAAATAAAGCTGTTGTGTGTCAATTTATTTTTCAGTCTGAATAATAAATAGAAAAATTTGTCTTACTTTGTCATTGTTTAATCTTTTGCCATCCACAATGTAAAGATGATGAGAGCTTGGCTTGTGTTGTAGGCTCAGTATGAGATGGCACAGTGGCTTACAGCAAGCAAGGGACAGCAGAGAGGCTGCCCAGTGCCATGGGATAGTAGCCATGGGTTATTGCACCCAGCTCCCCATGATGGTGATCTCGTAGGACTGGGACAGCACCAAGTGGCCAGGCTGCTAGAGTGGCACCCAGCACAGGCACGGCCCTGCACATGGCTTTGCTCTGTTATGGCATCAGCTTGGCACATCTTGGGAAACAGAGAAATTACACTTTGTCACCACCCTATAGATCCTTTCCTTCCTGATCTAGAAGATCTGCTGCTGCCAGTCTCTTAAAAAGAATAATGGTCAGAAGATGTTTGTTTCTTTGTCTCCCACTGGAACCACATGGCAGCCCTTTCTGTCTTTCACTGGACCACTGAACAACACAAGACAAAGATCCTCTTGTTGCAGACAGTAAGGCCTTGTCATCTGCATTTGCTGTCCTAATATTTATCTGCTTATAAGTTGACAAACAGCATCCTTTGCTGTGAAAACCTGGGAAGTATATGTGAACATTGAATACAACATTTCTATGGGCTTCCCTATCTCATCGGGATTCAGGTCTGCACAACATACAGACAAGAGTATTAAATTTATTATGTTATATGTTTATATTTTTCAGGTAACCAGTAAAAGTCAGAGGCTTGTCAAGGTGGGTCTTATTTCCAGTTTAATTTTGGCTGAGCACTCCTCTTGTGCGTTCAGGATGCTCTCAGCTATGGGTGGAAATTGAGGTGACTTATTTAGTGCCTATCTTGGCCTGGCAAAATCTTCTAATTGTACAGTCCAATTTTGATAGCTTGCTTAATACCTACTGTTAAGATGTCCAGAGACCTCTCCCTACAGACACCAAGAAATTGAAATCAGATTTGGATTGTCCTGAAGGCTCTTGTTTCCCAGGCCATTGCTCCACTAAGTGTACCTTCCCACCATGTACTTCCCTCCTTCATCAAGAGAGGCTTATGAATCATAGTGCCTGGGAGCTCTTTAAAGCTTGAATATCAGCTTCAGAGGAGTTCATGCCTCTCTCCAGATGGTAATCTGCTATTCAGGACACAGATCTTTTTGCTCATATTCAGTCATCAGTGCTTGTTGGTCACAGCCCATCTCACACCCACTGCAGTGGCTCAATTTAACACTGCCTAGATAGGAGTCCATCTGCATGACATGTTTGCTGAACAGCTCTGAAGAAGCTCATTTGTAAAAGTCAGCATGTTGCTAAATGGTAGCTAGTTCATGAATAAAAACAAAAAGAAGTTGGATCTACAAGTCACTACAAATTATTTACTATGTCCAGATTCATTTGCAACAATGGGCTTGGGTGCAAGAAAATCTTGAGCTTTGGCCAGAAATCACTTCTTTTGTTGTTAGCAGTTACATCTGCTGCTCCTTTCTTCTAGTGCTACACAGATCTCTTTAATCCCTAGAATGTGTTCCCAATTTGATTGTATTTACATATATGTCTATAGCTTTACTGAAAATACCAGCCTTAGTCTTCATCACATTTCCATGCTGTGTTATGGTTTTGTTTGGATAATGTCACTTCTCTTGTGCCTGGAAAATTTGGCTTCCTGTGAGGTTTTGGAATTTGACTTCTTCCTTTATATATCCAGCAGGTTTTCAAAAATTTTTCTCTCTTTTTTTCCTTTTTCCCCTTTTTTTTTTCTTTGTAGTTCTCTTTTCAGTCTACTAAGAGAAACAAGGATGCATACTGCATACCCTCTGGCCTGCCATGTTTAATACAAATGAAACTTCTGTATGAAAAACATACATGAGATTTTGCATTATGCTTGAAGTAGGTGCAAGCCGTGCTCCACAGCTGAAGGAATGATCGTGGAGATGCAGGAAGTGGCAATGAATAAATCACATCTAAACAAAATCCAATCCAACCAAACAGAACCAAAAGAAACCTAAACTTGTTGTATCTGACATTTTAATGTTTGATTGCTGAGGCCAGAGCTAGTGTCACCTCCTGCAGCCTCCTGGCCAGTGCCTTCCCCATAGTAAGTGCTGCTGGTTGCAAGCTAGCGCTCAGGAAATGTGACGATTCCGTGTCCCCCAAGGCTAGCCTGTGCCTCATTAGGAGATAAAGTCCAGAAGCCTAGCACTCATGTTAAATACAAGGCTGTGCACTGATATCTGACACGGGCAGAGCAATGAAATCTCTCCCACGGGCCTCAGGGCAGCAGCCCCTGTGTGTGCTGGTGGCCCCAAGGCAGAGGTGCCTGTGCCATCCACCTCCTCCCAGCCCCTGCTGCCAAAGGAGCCGGCTCAGCCAAGTGCCCGTGTGAGCAGAGAGCGCTCAGCAGTGCCACAGGGGCTTCTCCAAATCCAGCCCCAAAGCAAGAAGCTTGGGTTGGGAACAGGCTGCTTCCCACCATCCCCCTGGCTGAGCCCACAAGGAGTCTTCTCCTAATTCCTTAAGTGAGGAAGGGCAATGAAGATGCTGTTGCATCCCACACCAAACCTTTTTATTGTGGTAGGGCTTTTCCACATCAGGAGCTGCACACCCAGACTCCTGGGAGTGGGTCTGCTAAACATGCAAAGTCTCCACAAAGACCAGTGCCAAAAGCTTCTTTAGAATTCAAACACATATCATGACAATCATGAGAGTATTTCTTAATACGTTTTTTACCAGTTGGTACAGAAAACATAAAATGTTTTTGTCTGTATGGTCTTAAAATGTTACACTTAAAAGAGCTATGTTTTCAGAAAAAATACCTGACTCATCCCTCCAGGAAAATAATGACTAATCACAGCTGGTAGGGAAAAAACCCACTAATCCAGTTCTGTGCAAAACTACTAACCCAAGACTCATGAAGCAGATATATGACTTTATCCAGCTGATGGGATTTTTCCCAAGTTTTACCACAGAGATTATGAGGTAAAGGTAGATGAATTTTTAAAAGATATTATCAACATTTTTTCACATTAAAAATCAACATATTATGCTACATCTCATTCCCTTGAAGTTTAAATAAGAACTCAGAGTTTTCCAAACTCAAAGAAGCCATCCTGCTTCTATGGTTGAACAGATCTGTTGCATCAATTTACCATGGGCATCCACTTGATTTAGTTAAAATAACACTTATAAAGTAATAAATGTTTAGTTTAAGAGAATGCTTAATGAACAAAGTTTATGACTTTCTGGAAAATCATTGAAATTGAAAGCCACATATATTTACATAGAGTATGTGGCATCTGAAAGAAATCCAAAGAATTTTGTTATTAATTTCCTGTGTTGTTTACATGTGCTAGAGCTATGTTTATTCCAGAAGAATCACTCACCAGGAGTGATAGAAATCAAAGTGCAAACTGGTTTATTTTTCTCAGTAACTTATTAAGAACAGCAGCAGTTTCTTGTGTTAGATAGATGATATGCAACAGACACAGATATTTTTCATCAAATGTATACACAATAAATGAGAAAATAAAGCAAAGAAATGTGCAGTCAAGTGAGTTTTTTATTAAACTAAATAAAATAAAAAATTAAATACAATTTTTGCAATCTTGAATTTTTTCTATTAATACCAAAAGGTATTGCATAAGTCACAACACAATTTACAGTGCAATATTTAGTGTATGTTTCAATAACCAAATTCTTATACAATGAAGCACTAATCAAGATAATAGAAACAGCAAGTGTTTCATTATGCTTTCTTAAGAACGTATGAATTTAAAAATCAATATAAAATGAACTTAAATCAAAGACAATAGGATTGATAAAATCCTCTTTTAAGGCTGGAAAGGAACATGTATTTTTATGACAAGTTACAATAAGTTAAGATAATTTCTCATTTTTCTTATTTGGTGTGAAAATTATCCTGCATATTTCTAAACCTCAGACCATCTCCCCTTAGTTTTGGCTTGTCTTTTTAAAACCAGCTATGAAGGAAATTATTCCTGTCTTTTCCTTAGCTCCCAGTCCTAACTCCTCAGTCCTTAAGTCTGCAGAATCTTCCTCAAAGGGAGTTTTGCTGTGGACTAAATACAACAGTGCAGGATGGGTTTGATCCACTTGTGGGCCTGAAACAAAAAAAATAAAGATAATAAGGATTGTGTGGCTTTTCCAAGAGTGCATATTGTAAGACTTAGAACCAGCACTTTCTTGTTTTAGTAAAGGCAGGTATGGCCAGGTTTGAATCCTTGAAGAATGAGTCTTTTAACACCAGATAAATATTTGTGTTTTATTGCACAAAATGTGGAATCCCTCTTTTCTTCATCATCTGCCAAATGTTTCTGCATTTGGAGTTTGTCCTGCAACAGCTCAGATACTCTGACAGTGTAAGGATTGAGTCCTCACACCACCAGTGTAAGTGCAACAATCCCTCTGCTGCCAAGGGGCTGGCCAAGCGCTCCAGCGCAAGTGAGACATGGGGGGATGATGCACCCACCCTCCCGGGAGAGCCTGTAAGCACGGAGCTCAGCTCCCAGTGAAAAATAAGGATTTCAGCCCTGCCTGGGCTGCACAAGCCAGAGCAAGCTTCACAGCAGAGGCACGGGGGCTCCAGATCCGCAGGGGGCTGCGTGTGCCTCCCTGGAGCAGTGTCTGTGGTACCCCTCTGCAGAGGGACCAGACTCGCAGCTTTCAGCCCTGCTGCCCTCCAAACCCAACTCTGCTGTGGGGGGTTTAGCACTTACTTAATGAGGACTATGTGTGTGCATACATATGGATGTGTGTATATCTGTCTACACATACACACAATATAAATTAACTAAACATGTTACTAGGATACATCAGGAAAACCACATCCAAACAAAGAGTCCAATATGGAAAAAGCTATTAAAAGATCCTAGCATTTTAGCTTGTTGTGTATAGGAATAAATATGATTACAGGATACCAATTTTACATTTTGTTTCTTTCCCAATGGTATTTGCAAGAGGTGCTGCCTTCTGGGGTTAAAGGAATTATTGCAAATGAACAAAAGCAATTCAGATCTTTGCAAATAACGTGATGCTCATAATTTAATTGTCCACCTCAGGAGAACCTGACTATGAGCTCCATGGTTAAAATTAAGTGTATCACCCCTTTCCTAAATGTCCAAGATGCCTCAACAGGACCTTGATCTCTGCCCATGAGCTTTTAAAAGAAATGCAGGAAAGAAAAATTTTTGTGCTCAAGATCAGAATACTCTCACACAATATCAGTACTGAAAGATGAAGATAGACGAGAAGTTTACAACCTCCTTTTCATCAACATTTTCATTTAGACTGACTAATTAACCTAAGTAATTTTACTCTTTCATCTTAAATACAAAGACCCTGATGCCTCCTGTACTACTTCACCCAAACTCTGCGCTCTACACATAAAGCTGTGAAGACAGCAAATCAGCCAAGGAACCAGAACTGTGCAAGCCAGGTTTCTACAGGAAAAGAGATTTGGGCGGCTAAAATCACTTAAAAAAAAAAAAAAAAGTGTTGCAAATGTAGACTCTTAGCAGTAGCAGCTAAAATCACTTAAAAAAAAAAAAATGTGTTGCAAATGTAGACTCTTAGCAGTAAGTGATACAGGCCTGTGACTTCCCTGGGCACTGGTCCCGCTCCCATGCCTCAGATGACATGCTGCTCTAAGAGCTGGCATGTCCACTGTATTCAGGCTGGTAGTGTGCAATTTTTCTGGGCTACACCACACATGCTGTCCCCAGACACTCTGAAGTGTTAGGGCATGTAATTAAGTGCTAATTTAAATGGCACTAGTCATGTAACTAAAAGTCTATGATTTTTTTTTTCTAGTCATAATTTTCCACACTGGAATTCCTCTTGGAACTGACTTTGAAGTCAGTAACAAGCCTCCCATTGGGTTTAATGCAAACAGAATCAGCCCTCACTGGAGTTTTTAGTGGAGCAGAGAAAAACATTTTTCCTGTTAAAAGATTTTCCTATTAGTACAAACACATAAAAGACTTGTCAAAGTTATAGTGTTAAATATTTTAATGTCTTGCCAAACCTCATCAATTCTCATTGTTTAGCAAAAATGGCACTGACATTCTGAGTTGCTAGCTATGGCATTTTCTGCGTATTAAGATCAATAATATGCTTTACAAGGAAAAAAGGGTTGTCTAATGAAAAAAGTCTTTTAAAAGTCAGGACAATTCCAACTGCTATGAATGATTATAAATTATGTGGTTATTTTTATGGGGGTGGGGTAGGGGGTGATTAAGACTTTGGGCACATGAACCATACTCCCCCACTTTCTTTCCTTACCAGAAATTGCACTTCCCAAAACCTCCCCTTATTATCAGCTGTGTGAATTCTAGTTGTAATTGCCAGTGTAAGACACTAAGTTTTCTGTTTTAACATCAACCCTGAGTTCTTAAAATATTTATTGGAATAAATGTCTTTGACAGGCTCTAGTGACAGAAGGAAGGATTTGGTTCAGAAGGAAGATTTGGTTTCAATTTGATTGCTTCAAAGATTTGTTTCAAGTGTCTCAAAAGCTGTGCTTTTTGGACCTTATGCTCTACTGGCTATTCAAGGAACCTCAGCAGATATTAGGTGCATGGGTCCGGGGCTTTGAGTTCCTTCATCCAAAGGAATGCAGATGCACATTCAAAGGCCCCCTCACCTGTGCTGACTTTGCCCTGGCTCCACAAAGACTGTACATGAGGCCAGGCTAAACTACAAGGACTTTTTTTCTCAAATGTTAAGGGCAACATGAAGAAGGAACCCAGGGAGGAGGAGGAGCAAGGACATGGCAACATCTGTGGGTGACAGAGGATGCAAGAGCCTGCAGGATTTATCCCCAGGGACAGGTGTCTGAATGTGGGGAGTGCTCTCCCTGGGCACTCCAGCTGCAGTTAGCTCATGCCAGTGATGCCTCCTTAAGTGGCATCCTGCTCTGGTGCTTTTGAGAACATTTCCAGCCACATGGGCTCAGTTATGCACTGTCCTTATCCAGGACCAAAAAGTTCATCACAACTTTATGCAACCCAAAGTCCAGTTTGGACCTTTTCCAAAGCACTGACTGCTTCCGACTGACATATCAGAGGCTTTAAAAAACTCCCTCCTTTTTTCCCTTGAGAACAAAATCTTCCATCACTTTCCTGCAAACATCTCAGCATTGCCTAGGTCTGTCAGGAATGTCTGCCCAGTTCAAAAGCTTTTGGTCTTTTCTTGCATTGAGGTGGTGGAAAATAAATCTTTTTAGTCAGAAACTGAAAAATATTTTTTTTATATGTAGATATGAGGCTTGGGGGGCCTTATTCAGTTCCTTAGGAGGGTTAAACTTCTACTTCTCACTCTCTGCAACAGTATATTGATGTCTGGGTAGAAGCTGTTCTGGTGCTGCCACAGGAGAGGGAAGAGGGACTGAATCATTAATCATGATATGGAGATGAGTGCAGTGTCAAGAGAACTAAGACTATTTCTCATCCCTGTCCTTCAGATGCCTGATATTATGTGAGCTACACACCATGGTTATGGGAAATGTGGCTGTAAACTCCCCAAAGCAGAGAGATGAAGACGGACATTGCTAGCTCCTCCAATACCTGCATGACTAACAACCTGCTCTGAGAAACGGGGCTGCTGGTGCCACCGTGTTCCGTGCAGAGCCCTGTTTGTGTGAGCATGGATTACATGTGTACTGCCAGAACAGGCTCCTCCAGGGAGGAGGCACTCTTTGTCTGCGAATCCTGATGGGATTAGGTGTGAGATACGCACTTAGCCCTGTCAAGACCAAAAGGCTTCAGCGCATGTGTGGAGCAGAACTTCAGGCATCTTAGTGGCTTCCCTGGTGCTGGGGGAGTTACTTGGTAAAGACATGATGATATGAAAAAGATAGTCTAAATTTAAACACCAGATTTCCACCCAATCCCCAGTGTTGCTCTGTTTGAGAGCTGGGCTCATGTCCCAGTTAAGTAATAGGAGCTTCCTAGGTGTAGACGGTATGAAGGATTGCAGTGACTTTTTCTAAGTGCTGTGTCTTGGAATCTCTGCAAAAACATAGTTTTACTCTAGATTTGTTACGGCAATGAGAAATGAGCACACATAGGTACTCATGCTACACATATGTAGCATTTATTGTAGTGTATTGCAGCATGTTGATTTATGCACACTAACAGACTGCTCTTGTTTTGTAACCTCTCAATATGACACAGTGTGAATGAATGCAAAATTTTAATAAATATATAGAAACAAATAGTCATTAATATGTGTTACAAATTACCAGTTTCCTCCTAAATCAGAACTTTATTTAAATTGTTACTTAAAATGTTTATAAGACCATTTTGAATCCTCATGCAGAGCCAAATGGTCTTAATTCCATTTACCATCTCCTATCTGCTCTCCAACAGTCCATAGCCATAAAATCTTTCCCCATGTCCCATTACAACTGATGTCAGATGACTCCATGTCTATGACTCCAGATCTTGGCAGACCACAGGACAGGTCACATGCAGTCATTAAGCAGGGGCAAAAGAACATCCAACAGGTTCTTGGACTTGAGCTAGAGATATTTGTTGTGTTTGGCTGAACTAGATGCTGGCTGGAGGAATGTAGATCCAAAGAAAGTCAGGTATTGATTGCAAGGGATCAGTTTGGAAGTGGATTTTGAGCTGACACCTAATTTGTACAAGAAAGTAGCAGGAGATGACTTAAATCTTCAGAGGCCCAAAAAGATAATTAAAACCACCCCTGAATGACAATGGCTACTAATTTGCTGCAAGTCACTGTATCCCCATGGAGGAAAAAAGGGAAACTGGCAGCTCCCCGGGCCCACTTTGAGAAGCTGTATGTACTCTGTTTGTATTCTCAGCTCATCTCTAGAGTTCCCTGCTGCTTCTTTATGGTGCGGTGAGGGTGCTGAGGAGCCAGGTCTGATAGGGCAGAAAAACGCCAGGAAACACGTTTTGACAGAAAAGTCTTGCGAGGCTCCCATGTGTGCTCCACATTGTCTATCGCGTGCCTTTGATGTCGGTTTGGCTCGTGGTAAGGCGTGAGGCCAGACCCTCATTCCGGGACGGGAGTGCCAGCCCCGCACACCCATCGCAATGACAGATGACACCGTACAACCCCAGGTGAGGATCCA